ACCAATTTGACAATAAATTTCATATATTAAAAAAAAAGAAAATAAGGGAGAAATGCAATAAACTATGCACTAATTGCACAACTGCCTTTTTACAAAGATGTCTGAGTGCTGAAACCACAGTGCTGCCACAAGATAGGTCCTAGTGTTCATCTGTTAACTAGTACTTTTTAAAAACCTAAAACTAATCAACAGAGATGACTGAGCAGAAAGTATAGACATTATAAAACGCAAATTGAGGGACATTCATTAACATAACTGGTCTAGGGGCACCTGTGTGGCTCAGTCAGTTAAGCCTCCAACTTCCACCCAGGTCACGATCTCATAGTTCATGAGTTTGAGTCCTGGATCAGTCTCTGCAGTAAGGAGCTTGCCTGGAATTCTCTCTTTCCCTGTCTCTCTGCCTCTCCCCCACATTCTGTCTCTCAAAATAAATAAATAAACTTTTTAAGAAATGTATTAAAAATAAACAAAACTAAATAACTGGCCTATTATCTTTAAAAGTGCCAAGATCATGAAAGTTAAGAGTGAAGAAATGTTCCAGATTAAAAGAGACTAAAGAGACGTGACATCCAAATTGAACCTGTGATTCAACTCTACTGGCACAATTGGTAGAACAGGAATGGGGCTGTAGAATTAAATGTACCAATGTTAATTTCCTAAGGATGTATTATGGTTATGTAGGAGAATGCCTTTGTTTATAGGAATGACATACAAAAACATTCTGAAGAGCTGAAATATATATTGGTAACTTACTCTGAAATGATTTAGAGGAAAAAAACTTGTACGATACTTGCAACTTTTCTCTAAGTAGGAGATTGTTTCAAAATTCTTAATCAACTTCCCTTTTTGTAAAACACTTGTTTAAAAATGTGTTCCTCGAGGCACTTGGGTTGCTCAGTCGGTTAAGAGTCCAATTCTTAACTTTAGCTCAGGTCATGACCTCACAGTTCATGACTTCAAGTCCGGCATCAGGCACCACACTGGCAGTGCAGAGCCTGCTTGGGATTCTCTCTCTCCCTCTCTCTCTGCCCTTCCCTTGCTTGCATTTTCTCTCTCTCTCTCAAAATAAAAAATAATAAATAAAAAAATAATTTTAAAAATTTTTAATAAAATAAAAAAAGAAGAAGAAAAAGTGTTCCTCAAAACCTTGGGTTTCCCTAGTGACATCAAGGGCTGAGTTAAGCAGGGAGGGCCTTAAGTTCCCGAGTGTTTTAATAAGCTTGAGAAACAGCTGAATACTAATTACAAAATGTTTTTTAAGTCTAGACTGCTAGATCACATCCACCCTCTGTAACTGCATAGGGTGTGGCTTGAACAAATTACTTAATTTTTCTAAGTTTTAGTTTCTTCATCTGTAAAATAAGAAAAATGATACTGCCCACAGCTTACAAAGATATTTGGAGGACCACTTAAAAATGATATATATCAACTACTTAACGCCTGATAAATTTCACAGATTCTTTAAAATTATTTGTTCAATATGCTAGCCTTCCATATAAAATTATATTTGTAAAAAAAAAAAAAGCCTGCTATTCTAATATAATACAATTAAATTAGGACACTCATTATATCAGGTTTAAGTGATAAACTTTGTTGTCATGGAAAAAATTTGCTCTAGGCTATACAGTACAATGGTTAAAAGCACAAGTTCTCAGGTCAGAGCACTTGCCTTCAGTTGCAATTCTGCCACTCATTTGCTGTGTGATCTTGGCAAGTTAATTTATCTAAGGATAAAAATAGCTGTAGAGCAATAACACTACTAAGAATTTATCCAAAGGATCCAGGAGTGCTGATTCATAGGGTCACATGCACCCCAATGTTTATAGCAGCACTATCAACAATAGCCAAATTATGGAAAGAGCCCAAATATCCATTAACTGATGAATGGATAAAGAAGATGTGGTACATATATATAATAGAATACTACTCGGCAATGAAAATGAATGAAATCTTGCCATTTGCAACAATATGGATGGAACTGAAGAGTATCATGCTAAGTGAAATAAGTCAGAGAAAGACAGATATCACATGTTTTCACTCATATGTGTAATTTGAGAAACTTAACAGAAGACCAGGGGGGAAGGGAAGGGAAAAAAAAAAATAGTTACAAACAAAGAGGGAGGCAAACTATAAGAGACTCTTAAATACAGAGAACAAATTGAGGGTTGATGGCGGGGGGAGGGGTAATGGGTGATGGGCACTGAGGAGGGCACTTGTTAGGATGAGCACTGGGTGTTGTATGTAAGTGATGAATCATGGGAACCTACTCCTGAAGCCAAGAGCACACTGTATATAGTGCATGTTAGCTAACTTGACAATAAATTATATTTAAAAAAAGAAAAAAATTGCTGTAGAGGTTAAATGAAATGAATGCATAAGGCTTTTTAGCAAAGTATCTGATATTTTTAGTCTTTAAAAAAATATTAGGTGCTGTTTTTATTTCTGGCATGTACATATTTAATACACAAGGGCAATAGTTGGCATACTACACCCCAGTGCGTGAACTCTGCCCGCCTCCTACTTTTGTAAGATCAAGTTTATTAGAAAAGCTAAACTCAGCCAGTATGTATTGCCTGTGGCTGTTTTCATGCTATAATGGCCTGAGTAGTTGCAACACAGACCTGATAGCCCACAAGGCCTAAAATACTTATTATCTGGATTTTTCATAAGAAATTTGCTGATCTATACCCTCGGTGAGAAAAACACACTAAAAATACAATACCATAAAATGTTAAAACAGATGATATAAGTGGAGAAAGATAACCAAGTTACTGGTTTCCATGTGTCTGAATAAATTCAAAGCAACTGAAAAACATATGGTTATTTTCCTTTCCCCAAAAAAGTAAGCATTTCAAAACTGAAAATGTCCTTCGAGGTTCTAAATTAAAACATTTTTTTTTCCAAATGGAAATACAAATCTGAGAATTAAATGAATAGTCTATACCTAAACAACTTACTATTATCACTCCAGGTGTATTCACTGTGATGCATTAAGGCATTGCATTAGGTCATAAGCAAAGCATATTTTTCCGAAATAAATCACACATGAAAAGTATATTTACGAAATCTCCATGTAAAAGGACCTGTGTAAAGTACCATAAAGAATTCACAAAAGACAAGACAGGGTAACTTAAAACACAATCTAAATAAGCAGAAAAATAATCTCAAGGCATATAAAAACCAGTTAAGTGCATTTCACCATAATTTCTATATTTCTTTAAATTTTTTGTAAATAAAATAGATTACTTTGTCCACTTAACCTACACAAATAGAAAAATCCAAAAATGTATTACCTGAATTGGATGTTTACTAAATGAGGCTGGGAGCCATCTGATTGCCAGTAAGTTTCAAGATTGTCATCTCGTAACTGATCCACTCCAAATCCTAAAACACAAGTGACAGTAAGTTCTCATGAAAAAGAAAGAGCTATATATTCGAAATATAAAATTACCATACACATTTGTCCAGAAAGTTTGATAAAGAGGATGGTCAATACTCTAAACTTTAAATTAGAATTCTTCCATCTTCTTAAGAAGATCTCAACTCTTAGAATATCATTTGCACACACAAAATGTTACATTAGGGCGTTCTTGGTTTTTGGCTTTAATTTTTAAAGAATATCTCCTAAATAAATTCTAAACACAGCATGTCTTCAAATCCAGCTTATACTTTCTACAAGGTGGTAATAAGACTGATCCTCATGTCCTACAAAATCAGGTTTTAAGTCCAAGATGCCATACATCTTTCTTGTGACAAGAAAAAGGACACCTTAGAAATATTTTCAAAAATCACATACATTTTGAAGCCAAGTGTTTCTGATCAACATTCTGATTAGTCAAAAATTAAATTTGCGGGGCGCCTGGGTGGCGCAGTCGGTTAAGCGTCCGACTTCAGCCAGGTCACGATCTCGCGGTCCGTGAGTTCGAGCCCCGCGTCGGGCTCTGGGCTGATGGCTCGGAGCCTGGAGCCTGTTTCCGATTCTGTGTCTCCCTCTCTCTCTGCCCCTCCCCCGTTCATGCTCTGTCTCTCTCTGTCCCAAAAATAAATAAACGTTGAAAAAAAAAAAAAATTAAATTTGCCCAGAATTGCATATCTAGCTATTCTAGATAACTGAAGTAAAAATAACCTGTATTGCTTTTTGATTAAAATCATAATAATGCAGACTAATTGTAGAAATAATTTAATGGTAAGGTGTGGATGTTTCAAAGATATTTAAGAAAATTGATCTAATTTACATTTTAATTTTTTGAGTAGTATATTCATTATAGATCAAATTCAAAAGGTACAAAAAAGAACATGGTGGAAAGTCTCTATCTCCCCCACCCCCACCATCCAGTTTCCCTCCTCAAATATAATCAATGTTATCAATTTTTTACATACTCTTTCACACATACTATACACATATATAAGCAAATGCATAATTCTTTTTTCCCCTCCACACAAATAATGGCATATGATAAATAGCTCTACACTTTGCTTTTCTTTTTCACTTAAATTATCTGAAAGATTCTTCCATATCAATAATAATAATTAATAATAATAATAATAACAACAGCAGCAGCAAATACCAATATCACATTCACTATATGCCAGGTACATTCTAAGCATTTTATATGATTATATCATGTAATGTTTATTTAACTCATATAGTAACTCAGTTAACCTAAGCAGCTCCCACATTTTTTAAAGGTTATACAATATCTCACTGTCTGGAAATGTAATAATTATTTAACCAAACCCCTATAGGATACTTAGACTGTTTCCAATGTTTTCCTATTACAAATAACACTGCAGTAAACATCTACCTATCTAAAATCTTCAAATGCATATCAGTATTTCTGGAGGATAGACTTCTAGGAATAGAACCCTGGGTCATTTGAATTTTTAATTTGATAAATATTGCCAATTTCTCCTCCAAAATGCATCCTCACCAATAATGTACGAGAACATATATTCCTTTATGTAACCAGTAAAACTTGTGATATTCTGAAATCTTTATACTAGATTTTGAAGACTTAGTATAAAAACATTAAATATCTCTATTTAATAATTTATTATATATTGATTACATATTGAAATAATTTTGGATATATGGAGATGAAATAAATTATGACAATTGTATCTTTTTAAATTTTAATAGTGGTACTGGATAGTTTTAAATTACATACGTGGTTTGCTAGATTTCTCTTGGATAGCACTTCTCTGTACTCATGCTAAAATGAAATCATTCTTTTAAGTATTTGCTAACCTGATAAGTAAAAACTTATTATTTCAAACTTTCATTGATCATTTATATTTCTTCTTATAGAAAACACCTATTCATAACCTCCTATATTTTCATTGCACTTTGGTCCCTTTATTGATTTATAACTCTTTTACTATTATGGATATTAACCCTATGTCTGTTCCATGTGATCCAAATATGCTCTCCGCAGTCTGAGATTTAGATCTTAAATCTTCATATGCTGCATTTACAGTATATACTATTGAATAAGAAAGGTTCTTCCAGGGGCGCCTGGGTGGCTTGGTCGGTTAAGCATCCGACTTCGGCTCAGGTCATGATCTCACAGTCCGTGAGTTCGAGCCCCGCGTCGGGCTCTGTGTTGACAGCTCAGAGCCTGGAGCCTGTTTCAGATTCTGTGACTCCCTCTCTCTCTGCCCCTCCCCTGTTCATGCTCTGTCTCTCTCTGTCTCAAAAATAAATAAACGTTAAAAAAAAAATTTTTTTTAAATCAAAAAAAAAGGTTCTTCCAGAGAAAATAATTTTTGCATTAAATTCTGAAGTACTAGTAAGAGTTAACTAGGTAAACAGGTAGAAGGGCAAGGTTAAAAACCATTCAATAAAGAGAAAAACACATAATGGCACAGAAAAGGAAAAGTGGAATCTATAGGAAACAAAGGTAGCTTTTGGTAGCTAAGGCTACACATTGGGTTGCATCAGGAAATGAACCAGAGACATATGAAAGAAGTCAGATCATACAGACTCTTATGTACTAAGATATGAAGTATAAATTATCTTGAAAAATATGCCAACCTACATAAGAATTTTTAATAGGTAAGTTATATGATCAGGAAATAATCAGATCAGAATCTTCAGATAGATTCTTCATTGCCAGGGAGGGAGAAACCCATCCTAAGTAATCAAAACTCCAAGTGACGATGGTCTGAATTCAGACAGTGACCAAGATAAATGTTAAAAAATAGCTTCCTATTGCACCAAAGAAAATCTTAAAATATAAAAACTGGGTTCTCCATTACTCACTCTGTAACTCTTAGATCTGTGCTGTGCAATATGGTGGCGACTAGCTGCATGAGACTATTGAAGAAATATGGCTAGTTCAACTTGAGATTTGCTATAAGTGCAAAATATATATTGGTTGAAGACTAGTATGAAATGCAAACCATCTCACTAATAATAAGTCTAGTTATCTTGAACTAAAAACATATTATTACATTGGGGTGCCTGGGTGGCTCAGTCAGTTAAGCATCCAACTTCGGCTCAGGTCACAATCTTGCAGTTTGTGGGTTCGAGCCCTGCACTGGACTCTGTGCTGATGGCTCGAAGCCTGCAGCCTGCTTCAGGTTCTGTATCTCCCTCTCTCTCTGCCCCTCCCCCACTCGTGCTCTGTCTCTCTCTCTCTCTCTCAAAAATGAATAAACATTAAAAATTTAAAAAAAAAACAAAAACCATATTATTACAATTAGTTGCACCCATTTCTTTATCCTTTTTAATGTAGGTACTAGAAAATTTAAGTTACACATGCAACTTGCATTATATGTCTTTTGGACCATACTGCCTTAGACCATGCTTCTTTCTTTACATGTTATTTCTAAGCCTAATTCAGAATATTCAGTTCTGCAAATTATAAGATAAAAAGTTGTTTTGGTACTAACATAAAGAGTTCTTAAGTTCTAAATCCCTTTTTCTTCTTGTCAGTTTATGAGTTCCCTAAAAGAGGATAACTCAATTACAGGACTCTTCCTTAGGAGCTCCACCATTAAATGTTCTATTGATTAAAAGACCTTCTGTCACATATTTTATTTTAGCTATTTGGATAGTTTTTCTTTCTCTTTCATTTCACAATTTTACAAGTGTGTGCTCAAAGAATTTCACAAAATGGTGTTTTTTCTTAACAAGTAAAATAAACATTAAACAAAAAAACTGAATAACTTATCCAGAATAAGAGGATGTCCTGTAACTCAAGACTAGTCATTTTAAGTGCCTTTCTAATTGATATTGCTTATGAAACTCTAACAGTATAACTAAGTAGGTACACTCTCATCAAGAATTAATCAGTCTAAATCTTTACCTCTGGAATACTAAGTATGATTATCAGCTCTAGTTCTTCAAAATATGTCTCACAAACAGAACCTCTTACAAGCATCTGTTTATGTGCCAGTGCCATAGCTCATAGAGTAAGCTTCTTTTCCAAAGCTTCCCATTCAGCGTTGTATCTGGATTCTTTTTAGTCCAAACAAAAGAACCAAAAGACAGACCTGTGATAACTGCTTTGATAGGTATCATGATAATGCACTCAAACAATATTATCCAGAAAAAAACTTTCATATGATGTAGTGATTCATAAGTCGGTGGTTCACAGTATGGTCCCTGGACCAGCAGCATCACTGCTATCTGGGAACTTATTAGGAAATCTAAACCTACTGCATCAGAAACTTTCAGCATTAACCTGTTTAAGAGTCGGTATTTTAATAAATCCTGTAAGTGATTACTAGGCATGCTAAAATTTTAGAACTTTTATGGCAAGTTTACTCAACTTGGGCACTACTGATAGTGTGCACTGGATAATTCTTTCAGGAGCAGGGGCTATCCTGTGCATTATAAAATATTTAGCAGCATCTCTGGCCTCTACTATTTGTCAGTCACAATTTTCCCCCCAAACCAGCAGTTGTATCAATCAAAAACATCTGCAGATATTACCATATGTATCCCTAGGGGGTAAAATCATCCCCAGGTGAGAACCACTGCTCTAAGGAAAAGAAAACTAGCATTCACCTGTGGTTACTGTTATTGTTTAGTAAATATCTACTCTTCTCTACCCATCCTCTAGGAGAACAAAATGATTCTGCACTCCAGTCACAGTGGAGCTTAACCATGACTTGTTTTGGTCAACACAATGTAAATGAATGTGACACAAGCAGAGGTTTTAAATGTGCTGGCAAGGTCTAACTTGGCACCCTTCTAAATGTTGGCACCCCACTAAGACATTGTGCCTGAACACATGGAGCAGGCCTAGACCCAAGTCACAGCCTACAGCCAAGTCATAGCCAAGCAAAAAATAAATTTTGTTATAATATGCCACTGAGAGATTAGGCTTGTTTGTCACAGACCATTAGTGCAGCAAGAGCTGACTAACACAACATCA